TTGCTTATTGGCTGTTGAAAAACCGGCAAATTCCGAAGAAAGTTCATTGACTGAAGTATATTATATTCGGAATTTGCCGATTTTTCAACAGCCAATAAGCAACAAGCCGATGATTTTTCCGATGATGACGTTTGTCGTGCATTTTGCATCCCGCCTATCGACAAAATAATTTCGATAAAAACCCACTTTTTATCCATGAAATTTAAATACTTCTAAACTTTTTTCAACTCTAAAAAGTTTGAATAAAGTTAGAAAAAATATCCAAGGTGTTTTGTATGTAGTTTGTTTTCAGAAAGTAGCGGGTTTTGTTGTTGTTTGAAGCGAGCGTATTAGTGTGTGTAAATGTTTTTGTAAAAGAGTTGCCCGCCTTAGGATAATATACTATATGAAAATACAATGACGTAAACATCGGAATCTGCATGTATAATGAGCTACACAAATAAATCGCTTGATAGCAAATTGTGACGAACTTTATACGTATTTTTAAGCGTTTAATGCATTTTTACACATTTTGCTGGGCTGCCTATGGTTTCATTGCATAAAAGGAACGAAATTTAAATTTTATCGCAGTATTTGCCGATAAATCGGTAATCGCTACAGATAAAACAGAACAAATTACAGTAAATCACAACAAACTACAGAAGCGGAAGTGGGACACTTTTTGTATTTTCACTGTAAATGAGGGGAGCGGTCAAAACATGAAGATTTTCAAGCTTTTACAGTAAATACGGATCACAAGACAGCAAGAGATCAAAAATATTCGGAAACATTCAGGTAAGTTTGGCTCTATTTTTTTCTTCTTATATACATCAGGCAATGACATTTTTAGTGTTCAATCCGAGGTTCAATCTAGAGGCAAACAATGTGCTTTTATGAGTTTATCAGCACTTTTAACTGCCCAAAATATACTTTTGATCGATTGGTCAAAAGCAACATCTAATCGTCTTATTACAAGGAGACAAAATGTACTTGCAAGCTCTGGATAATGGCTTTGTTGTCTTAGAAACTGCCCAAAATATACCACTGACCGATTGGTCAAAAACATCATTTATAAATAATGTCTTATTACAAGGAGACAAAATGTACTTGCAAGCTCTGAATGATGGCTTTGTTGTCTTAGAACCTGCTGTCGAATTCTTATCTGTCGATAATTTACCTAAACTTGTCAGTGTTTCAAGTTGTATACAAACATGTTTCTTACAAGATAATTATGTGATTCTGTGATCGACACAAGTAATATACCACATGTAGTGTATGCAAAAACAACTACAACACCTGTGAATCCTTTTGATACACAAAATAATGATACTATAAACAGTCTGCCCATGGTGGTAGGACAAAATAATAGCATTCTATATCCATTGTAGTAGAGTCCATTGAGGCAAAAATATCATTGATCTGCCCATTGTAGAGCCCATTCAAGGCAAAAACTATAGATCTGCCCATTGTGCCAATGTGGCAGAGCCCGTTGAGGCAAAAACTATAGATCTGCCCGTTGTGGTAGAGCCCATTGAGACAAAAACTATAGATCTGTCCATTGTGGTATCTAGAGCCCATTGAGGCAAAAACTATTGATCTGCCTGTCGTCTAGCCCATTGAGGCACCAACTATCAGCGATCTGCCCATTGCGATGGAGCCCATTGAGGCACCAACTATCAGACTAGGGGTCAGCCAGGGGGGGGTCGTGGTATCCTAAATAGCTGATAAATATGGATCAAAATACCTATTATTATGGTCAAAATGTTACATAATACCTAAAGCAATCAGAAGCTGTATACCAGACCTAATACCCAAAATTAGTCATAACATATATACAGTATACTCGAATTAAATACCATTAGATCCTTATATATACACAAAACCCTATGGCCGACCCTACAGACTGCTCTGCCCATTGTGGTGGAGCCCATTGAGGCACCAACTATCAGTGATCTGCCATTATGTGCAAAGGCAATGAGTTTATAGAGTTTATAGTGTTCCATTTCTAGATGTTTATAGCTTTAAACAAATGTGGAATGTTGCTAAATCAGGTTTAATATTAAAGATTCCTAGAGCAACCCAGTGTGGATTATTGTCTGCACATATATTGACTTACCAGCAATTACATGTAATATTACTAACATTTTAACTGACTTTTGTATAAGATCTGAGATATGTCTATTGTTAGCATAATATGAAATAATTCTAGTGGCCTACATATGGCTGTGTCACTACAATAATGCTCACAATTTCTTTCTTATTATATATTTTTTCAGTTCTGACAGAGTGCAATCTTAATCATGTCAATGAATGGTGTCATCTGAAGCATATTAAACAGAAATGTCAACAAATACATTTTGTCTACCCATCGGCAGATTGTTCGGTTGGTTTGTGATAGGGGAAGCCATGAAGGTGGCATTATACATGTAAAACGATAATTGGAACAAAAACCGACTTTATAGTATTTTTATATAAACATTGTTCTGTATTCAGTGGCAAACTCACACATGTGATCACCAAGTTTATACTTTATAGTGCACTTTTTATAAGATGAGATGTAAGATACAACCAGGGATGCCGCAACTGGGGGGGGGGGCAGGAATGGCAGCCACCCCTGTTGCCCTTTACCACGAGGGGCAAGGGGGGCAAAGGTGTCCTTTCAATTTAAAGGATTGCCTTGGCAAAATAGCGAATTGTCAGAAATGTTAGTGGAATTCTTTTACTAATTTGCTTCAGAAAACGCAAGAATTGCAGTCATCGAGCTTCATGAATAGCATAATCGCCTGGCGGAGAACCCCCTCACACCCCTATCATCCAATAAATAGAAAACATGATTAGGTGAAGTTCAACTCCCGATGTTTTGTAAACATCTCTTAGTACATATCAATTCAAAAGTGCCCTTTCACGAAAATCTGCCACCCTTGCCGTCACATCGTTCCGGCGTCCCTGGATACAATTGTAGAAGGTAATTGATGTAGAACATGTGTAAGACATTAAATCATACATACAGTGAAAAAGACACTTTTTGGTTGTAGTACATCCTGCATGTACATATCGGCAGCATTTTGCTTGCGATACAACCTCGTCCCCAGGGCCTTTGAGCTGGAGAAGGCCCTGGCATCGGCTGCGGTGTTCTTATCACCCATTGGTCAAATCCCTTTTACTGAAATAGCATAATTATAATAATTATACATGAAATCGACATGCGAAATATGCATATTATAAATTCAATTAGCCAGGAGCGTACAATACAGTATTTCGATGGAGAACAACAGTACACAATCTACACCTAGAAAAGTTTATTTAAAACAGAAACATAAAGGATGCTGCAGATTATGTGGATGTGAAACGGAAAGCCGGCGCATGACAAACGTTTTATCGGTAGCAGCAGTACAGAAGTTTCTGGTTAAAATAATATCCGAATCGTGTGGAATTTTTATACAAAGATCGGACGGTCTTCCCACGGCTGTATGCAATAAATGCATAACCTTCGTTAAAAAAATCCATGTATTCATAGGCAAATGTCAACAAGCACAAACTGACTTAAAGGAGCAGGTAACTGTGAAAAGATGTCCTGTGCAATCGCCCAACATTTCAAACAAAAAACCGGCGAAACGGCAATCAATGTCACAAGATGATGAGAGTATAGAAGAACCAGAGATGGACGTGCCTGGCCCCAGTACAATACATCTAGACATAGCTCAGTCAACTACGACTTCGACTCGCAGTGTAAGAAGCAGGCTCGATTTTTCATCGACCGCAAACTCAACTGTAATCCCGTCTTCGACCCTGATTACTGCACGTCAGATAGAGAAAATAACAGCAGCTGCACGAACAGAAGACGCCTCTGTCCTCGCGTATATAATTATGAAATATTGTCCCAACGTAGTTAGAGAGGTGAAGAGAAAAATCACTGATGATATAAATGCGTCTTGCAAAAACCTTTGCCTTAGAAACAAAGGCTCTATTTTACACGCTGGACGACAAGACTCATGCGGCATGATGATAAACTTCTCGTTTGAAAAGTTGTGGGAAGAAATGGAGACCAATATCCCATTTGTCATGGAGATTCTAAATGCAATCACTGGTGTTGAAGGAGGTAAAGCGAAGCAAGACCTACGAGCAAAGTACGGGTTTCTATATTCCATTCTAATGAATGTACGTTGGCATGAACTAAGTCTGATTCAGCGATTGAACACGCTTTGCTTAATTGAAGGTGGCTGCTCAAAACAGGTAAATTTTTTATTAATATGTGTTTACGTTTCACTTTTCAAAATGATACAATGTTCATGGATATCTACTTGGCCTTAACTTTACCAAACGTATACTACAGAAAATTGATTGTATATAGTTCTGTCATATATACAACTACGTGCACGTGACTATATGCTATATGCAAAGACCATTGAAATCAACACAAGTGACAAGTGTACAGCTTAATATATTCAGGTTGTAATAGCACAGTGATGTCTATACGGTTTATTTTAATTTAATTTCCTAAACAGTCAACTAATATAAAGGCGAAAAGCAAAGTAAAAGTGTGTTTTATTTATGTGTGCATGAAATTTGAAAATCATTCCAAAATTCACGCAGCCGAGTCAGCTTGCAATGTCAGGTGCATCTATTGTCTTATTTGTTTGTTTTGGTCGTGTTTGTTTTTAACAGGTAAAAACTTTTTAACAGAGTATGAACAGAGCCATAGGTCTCAATTAGGTTGTCATAATTGTTTTCCTTGATATTAGAAAAGCTTTTGATTCTATTGATCATACAATCTTATTGCAAAAGATGAATGATCAATTTGGAATAAAAAATGTGGAACTGGATTGGTTTAAGTCCTATCTAACTAATAGAGAGCAAGCATGCATTGTCAACAGTGCAATGTCATCACCTAAAACGATTGTGTGCGGAGTTCCGCAGGGATCAATTCTTGGTCCCTTGCTGTTTTTATTATATATTAATAATTTACCCGAATGCCTCGAAAAAACTTCGCCACACCTATACGCTGATGATACTCAAATTTCTACTTCTGCTAAAACTATTGAGGAACTTACTGAAAATCTAAATAATGACCTGAAAAAAGTCGGTGAGTGGCTTGCTCGAAATAAACTGCAACACCACCCAACTAAGACCAAATTAATGTATATCGGTTCAAAGTATAATACTGATACTATGACTTATGATATTCCAGTAATGATGAATAACCAATTCATAACTCTTGCTCATTCATACACATGCCTTGGGGTTAAACTTGATGAAAACCTTAATTGGCATGAGCATGTTGAAATGATTTGTAAGAAAGTTGGGGCCGGCATAGGAGCAATGCAATGAATTAAGCCATATGTTCCTATAAATACTCTGCATACCATTTACAGAGCTTTGATAGAACCGTATTTTGATTATTGTAGTCCATTATGGGACGTCTGTAACCAACAGCTGAAAGATAAGCTTCAAAAGTTCCAAAACCGTGCAGCGAGAATTATAACCGGCGCCAGCTATGAAATAAGGTCTGCTAGTGATGTTCTTCGATCCCTTGCTTGGGAAAATTTAGAGATAAGACAACGTACAACTAAATCCACATTAATGTATAAAGTCCTGAATGATTGCGCTGGGCCGAACTTGAAGGATGCTCTAACGAGAAGGGACCTTGTTCAAACCAGTTATAACCTTCGCAATACTTATACTGACCTTACCCTTGCTAAGCCAAAACGAGAATTTCTAAAAAAAAGCTTTAAGTATAGCGGAGCTAAATTGTGGAATAGTCTTCCTTCTGATGCGAAGCTAGCGCAATCAATTTATTCTTTTAAAAACTGCCTGAAAGTTTCACGCTAACATCTTCTAATATACTGTATATGCATGCTTTAGAAATATGGGTCTCACCGTTTGGAACTTAATTCTTGTATTGTAAATAGTTGTATATAATTCTTTATTCTTTTCTATATCATATTTGTAATTTTTAATAGTAACAGACGTCCCTCGTGAAAATCAACAAATCGTTGACGAGGCTAACGTCTTTAAATAAAGTTTACATACATACATACATAATTAGCTGCACGAGTCTGCATAAACAAAATCATTTGAGATGCTAATCAGTTTCCCTTCTTATAAAACACGACAAATTTAGGTATTAAGAAACTGTAAAATTCAGCCATTATGCGCTCTTTATTCTTACTTTTTCCTTCATCTGTATAATTTACAGTAATATGGCTGATGTATAAATAGAGTATCAACATAAAGACCAAATAGAAACTAGGCTTATTAAAGTAGTACATTGCCATAATTTGCAACATTGTTGTCAATTATAATTTGTAATAAAAGGTTTCTCTTCTAGACTGTATAGTTACAACATCGCCTGAATAAGCTTGGTGTTTGCCTGTCCCATAGCAGACGCACTACTTTACTCACGTTACTGGGTGGTCATTTCCTTGACAAGACAGTGGAGAAGCTTAAGAGTGGGAAGACTTTTCGTGGTACGGGAGATAACTGGGACATAAGAATTTTGAAGGTAATACGCAAGTGCATAGCCATAGGTATTTCTTAATAACTACCTGAACGAACAACGCTATAACGTGTCTACAAGATTAAATACATATTAGTTTTTAAATTTAATGTTTTTAAAACCATTTTAATATGTATAAGCCTCGCGACAGTAAAATTAACGTTCGTTTATATTGCAAACTTTAATTTGGAATGGTTACTACAAGTTTCGCTATTAAGCGTGACATCAATATTTAATAACAATGGACCATTTGGATTATAGACTAAATTTTGGTCTGGACGAAAATTTTATCACAGCTTGAAAGAGCATCACAAAATTAGTAATATTCCAAAGCCTATATTTCATATAATATAGCCTTGCGAAGTTTGCCGTTTTTCAGTCATTTGGTATTACGCACGGGAAATTGACAGCCCAATCGGGTGTTGGGGCATCAATTTCCCGTTTGTAATCTAAAAGGACTGAAAATTGCAAATTTAGCAAGGCTATATTATCCGCATTTTACAACATTTCGCAACGAAACTTTGGGATATTACTAATTTTGTGATGCTCTTTCAAGATGTGATGAAACTTTTGTCTAGATCAAAATTTAGTCTATAAATATAACGCAGATGGCCATTGATTTAAAATATTTAATATTAAAACATTTTTATTATATTATCAAAGGGTCAGATGAGAAAAGAGGTTCACAATGAAGACCTACATCTTTTCGCAAGTTTGTTCGTTTGTATCCTCCTTGCGATCAAACAACGACTCCGAATTGTATAAATGTGAAGAATCTTCGCATGTATTTGGTAAAATTTCTGCTTGAATTCCAATCAAACTCAGAGCACTGATTTGATCTTCGATTATACTTGATAACGGACAGACAACAAGAACGATATTCTGGGACGACTTTTTAACTGGCAAAAGGTCTGGCAATAGCTGAAACAACAGCGACTTTCCAAAGCCAGTTGGAAGAATCGACAACACATCGAAGCCTTGAAGCAAATATTCAAAGCATTGAACTTGCTTTGGTTTCAAACAAAAACTGGGAAAATTATTCATAGCAAATGCTACATGTAACCGCTTAAACGTATCAGAAAATTTCCACATTTTGACAACATTCCGTGTGTGAAATACAGTTATTCGTGTTCACCGCTCCTTGGCCATCAGAATTAAATATTGCATATAATTTGAATATATTATATGGGTCTTAATTTATTACACCCCAAAATTTGGGGTGTAAATTTTAGCCGATGCCAGGGCCTTCTTCAGCTCAAAGGCCCTGGGGACGAGGTTGCTTGCGATAGTAACTCCTAGTATAGTAATATAGGTATATTTGACCTTGGCTAGGCCAGGTGTTGTCGTGCGGATATAGCCTATCGCTTTTTATTACTTGCCAATTCATGTTTTATTTGCAAATCACTGGTTATTTTGAACCTAGTTATATTTCTCCTCATTTTAATCATTCTCATCATGTTTTAAATCCAGTATATTAAACGTAAATGACTGTGCTACACTCTACAGGACGACACGAATATATATTGTTGTCACACTGTTTACAAATTTAAACTGTTTGCCGCCGCCGCCTATTCTGATGCCTTTCATCATATTGCAATGAAATTTCTGTGACATATTCAATCCATAAAGCGACTGAAACAACGAAGGCTACGTAGATTACTCCAAAACGAATTTACACTAGGCTGTTTGATAATATACCGCCTGCTACGCAGGCTAAAATATACCCGACTTTGTGTATTTCAAATAAGCACGATATTCGCACAAATTTACATTCAACAGTTATTCTTTTGAAAGATTCATCGATGTCATACAGTTTTCAATGAAAAGTGGTATTTCAAACCTCTAAAAATCCAGTTTATTGAGTCCGCTCCAGAAATCGAAACGGATTCTGCCAGGCGCCTCACCACGAAATCGATCAAATTAATTCACGCGGGCCGCGCAAGCCTAGAACAACACATAGCGCCTGGGTACGAGGCTGGGGATAGGTATGGAGTGATTCATCTGGTATAATCTATCATCTGTGACGCGAGGCTTCACTTTTTAACTGCCAAATGACTGAATGTTATTGTTCCAGGTAAAATAGATTGAGTTCACTAGCGTTACATGGTTCGTTACCTGTCGCGGAACTCAGTCTCGTTACCATACGTCACAATAGCGTTACCGATTTAAATCAATCGCAAAATGTGTTTAATTTATTCATAATCAGTTTGTGACAAATTTGTGAAAAAACTGATAGTTTGCCTCAAAAATGTGTGAACTGAGAAGCCGGTTAGTTTTTAAAATCTACTTTAATTAAGCTCAGTTGGTAGAGCAAAGGACTGTAGTCAGAGGGACTGTAGTATTACGAAATCAGTATTCCTTAGGTCACCGATTCGACCCCGGTACGGTAGAAAATATTTGCCTTACAATGCAGCACGTTGAGTCCCGGCCCAATCCCACTCTTGGCAAATTATTATTTTCAACATGCAATCGAAATTTGTTTTAATTCTTTTAATAAATTTTGTGGCTCTTAAAGGAGCCGTTTAGAGTAATAAATTTCCAAGCAGAAATAAAACTCGCGACATATTTTAAACACAACTTATTACTTGCTAAGCCCAAGATAACATGGTTGCCAACGTCGACGTTGTTATGGTCGATATTTGCATATTAACCCGCCACCCCCTGTCGGCCCTGTGGATACACCAAGGTCCAAGCGAAATACAAGGGAACTATGGCGAGATATACGAAATTTTGACTTGTTGCTATCGAAAACGTATACCGCCAAAGTCAGTAACTGTCGTTAAAGGATTACAAACTAAAATTTCATTTCTTAAGTGTTTATTATGGATAGATCATAGGCAGCCCCGACTAATTTAAATTAAAACTGCAGTCGGCGAACTGACGTATAGTTGCATATAAAGTATACCTAAAGTTGGCAAGGTGTTTGAACTATTTGAACTACACAAGAAATATATCCGTAGTATTTTAAAAAGCAGAAAGAAACATAAACAAGGATAATTTTACTAACCTGTTGTAACTTTTTTTGTGAAAGGACAGCTTTAAATGTTGATAAATTTACGAAAGTTTACGGTGTTTTGTCGATTTTTTTCGTCGTCAACGACGAAACATGCTACAGCCAATGAACAGCTGAGTTTCATTTTGAAAAATGTGTCCAGCAACAGGATGCGAGCATCCCGCATAGTCACAGAGAAAAAAATCGACAAAACACCGTAAACTTTCGTAAATTTATCAACATTTAAAGCTGTACTTTGACAAAAAAAAACGTTACAGACAGGTTAGTAAAATTATCCTTGTTTATGTTGATGTTATTTCTAGGGCTAGTTTCTTTCTGCTTTTTTAAATACTACGGATAATATTTCTTGTGTGTAATTCAAATAGTTCAAACACCTTGCCACCTATGGCGGATAGATAGGGCCTATTTATTACACAGGCGTAGACCTTTTTTTTTCATTTTTTACCTTAAAAAATCGGGCGCCTGGCTTTGTGGGCAAAAATTTCCGGAGTTCGGCATTTTTGGGCAATCTGTGCGTAATTTATTTGATTCAAGCCTAGTCGAAATAGCTCTAGCTCGAAATATCAAGCCTAGCTCGGAGCCTAGTCTAAAAAACTTCCGGCCTAGTTCGAAATATCGAGCTTAGCTCGGAGTCGAGCTCGATAGGCTCGGAGCCATTCTAAATAGCTCGGCGCCGAGCTCGATAGGCTCGGAGCCATTCTAATTTGTATTATGTACATAACATTTGCACCTACAAATTGTAGGTGCAAATTACAATCCTGGCAAAAATTATTGTGGAATGCACCGCGTGCGTCAAACAAAAATTTGTTTGAACTATTTTAATCTATTAACATTGTATAGTATACTTTAAACTACGTGACAATAAATCAGTTGCATGTTTGAATTATTTTAATCTATATTAATATTATATAGTATATTAAACTACAGGACAGCAAATCAATTGCATGTTTTGCATATTTTTATATACATTAGCATACTCATTGTAAATTTAGTATTTTAATTAGTTTTATATATTTAGGAGGAAATATTATTGTAAAAACATTCCACTGAAGAAGCCGTAATAGGCGAAACGTTTGGAAAATATACTTTGTGTATTTTTAGGTCTGAAGAAATCTTATAGCCAAGTTTATATATATATATATATATAATATATATATATATATATATATAATAACAATTTTAGAAAGTTAAGTTACAGTATACCTTAATGAACATCGCTTTTTGCCGTTTTAAGGTTGGTTTTTCAATATATCTTCTTCCTTTCTTCTTCGACTGGATTCAATAGCAGTCTAATTCTGATAACGATTCACCAAGTGAGTTGCCTTTATATATGTTCTGCGCGCACACTTATACACTTAGTAATTAATGAAGATTCAAGATGGTAGCAGCTGCAGACAATACATAGATCCTACAAAAGGTGGGTGAAGTGGAATACTACAAAAGGTGGGTGAAGTGGAATACTACAAAAGGTAGGTGAAGTGGAATTATTTGATGAATGGATGCTCAATTCTCTGTTGAAGGGGTTTGTTTATGTGGAATTTTGAGTGTATACATGCATAATTATGTAAATATTCAGTAGACATAATGACGATTAACTTCAAAAAATGAAACTATATAATATGGTATATAATATGGAATAATATTTCCGCAAATGCGCTTATATAATTTAATAGCATTGAACACGAATGAACACCATTCAATTCACTGTTTTTATATAAGCACGCACTTTTCTGATAAAGGCTAAAGCTCCTATTTGTGAAGAGTTTGTCAAGTTTTGTTTTCTCTAATAAGCACAACATACATCGAAAAAAACGGGATTCCGTCTACCAATGCCTGTCTTAATCAATGATTTGTGAGCAAACTTTTATTCATTCCACGAAGAGAAACATAACGCAGTTAGCACTTTCAAAGTTTAGTCACAGCTATTATATAAGAGACTGCATGAGTCATTAAACTTGTTAAATGATAACACATTGATTTAATTTTTTAATTCAGTCTCTAACTTTAGCTATAAGCACAGTCAAATTTTTTCCATCTGCCACGTCTGAAAATATTAACATATTCTAATTAAAACGATGTATGTTGTTGTCGGCTGGCGTTTCTAAACTAAACTTGAATGCATAATTATACAACTACAAGTATACACGCGCTAAAGCTCTTAAATGTACTAAATGGCTGTTACAGCAACAATCCCTTTCAAACGTTGTTGGGACGCTTGCGTTTTTACAGCGTTAGTATAGATATATGCAACTTATTACAAACATTTTTATCAGCCTCCCTTCCTCTTCCCCTTTCAGCGACGCTTACCCAATCCGGATAATATAGAACACCAAAATTAAATGCTAAATGAGACGACACGTACGTTGAACAGGAGTTGGTGGATCGACATTTTCAATACATAGGTAGTTGGAGGTATTAGTCTCAGCATGTTTGAAAATTAAAGATAAATTCTAGTTTAAAGATGATCAAGACTGCCTTTATTGATTTAACTTTCTTTTTTGGCCTTGGCCGGGGTATTTCTATTTTTTTGACATTTTCTTGCAGCTGCACGATAACGGCCAAATGAAAGTCCTCTGAGTCATTCTTGGAGCAGCTGAGTAGTATAGGATACCGTTCGACCCCCTTTTTTGAGGAGGACTAGTATAAGGAGTTAATTAATATTCATCAGGTGGTGTGAGAACAATCTCGTTCTCCGAGCCTGCGATCCTTGGGAAGGAAACGAAGGCATACAGAAAACTGTATGTCGACCGCAAAAGCAAAACGACCGCAAAGGCAAAAGCAAAACAAATTGTTTGAAATATTTTATTGTTTCGTCTATAAAATGATTATTTTTTCGGGGTTTTGGTGGAAATGTTGATGTTCTTCATAGTGGGATACAAAAGGTGTGTTAGCGACTGAATAAGGAATATAGTGTGTGTGAAACAGGGTCAGTATAGAGCCGGCAGGAGCGCGAAGAGTGCTGTTTTCGAAGAAAAATGTCACAATTAATTGTAATCTTGTCCATTCACCTCTGTGTCAGTTTGAAAAAGCTTTAAATGTAGAAACATTTGTGGTTCCTCCAGCATAATTTAGCCGTTTAACGCTATTATGTTTCTAATGGTTGCAAGAGCGCGTGGAAAGGGCAATTTAAGAACAAAAACAATTACAATGTACTGTGTGTTATTAATTGCTACTGTATTCAGAGGCGTAGGAAGCTTGTAAAAGTTGCGGGGGAGCAGTTTTTCCTTGATATGAAAAAAATTTTCCGAATATACCAAAAAAATTTCCATATTTTTCCCGGAAATGAAAAAAATTTTCCGGAAAATAACATAACTTCAAGTTTTCAAAAGTGCCCTTTTTGCCCTTTGGGAAAAAAGGGAATCCTTAAGACATTTTTCACGCAAGAAAAGGGCACTTTGCTCCCGGAAAAAGGGCACTTGCCAAAACTTTCCCTACGCCCCTGACTGTATTATTAAAATACCTGAAAAGAGTCTCAATTCTAATATTAATTCGATTATAAACCTTGATAATATTAAAGTTTTCAGAAGATTTGTATATCAGGGGAATATTAAAAATATTAAATTTCTTGCCAATCGTTCAGTGCTGAACGACGAAACTGGGATGTGGTGAAAAAGAGTTAAAAGGAATTTAGACTTATAAAACATATCATTAAAAATATGAATATAGTGAATTCCATGTTTTAATATATTGTGTTATCATCTCTAGAAATTAACAGTTTATAAACCAAATCCTTGTTATATTTTAACTGCCCTTATAGCTTCCTTTATATGTTTTAATATTTGCCAGCAGTTTAGTAGGTTAGGGATGCAACAGCACTTTTCAAATTATTGAATTATATATATAACCAAATTTTGTGTCTGCATAGGAATTACTATTAAAGATTTACAGTTTGTAATGATAGAGTTGGAGCAAGTTAAGCTGCAATGTGCCGCAGTTTGCCCTACTTTGTTATTTTAAGCTGTTTAACGCCAGAATTTTTCTCGTCAAGGGGAAAGTATTGGATTTGGTATTTGAATGGGCTATCTTTGGTTAATTGTCTCATTAGATCATTAAGCCACAATGCTCTTTAGTGCACCCTATTTTGTTATTTGACTGTACTTCTGGACAATATTTCTCATCAATGGCTGTAAATGTACTTGACTTTATGTTGATTACTGCCATTAATTAATTAACTACTGACTACTGTACTAAATAGGACATTCAGTGTTGGAGATATAATAGTATAGAGGTTGCTATCATTGTAGCATTCAGGGGCATCGCTATCCCAAATTGTCAGGCATTTGCCAATTTATTGTATCGCAATCGGGAAATTGTTTTCGTGGCCAGCATGATTTGAATTGGACAGGAATGGAAAAACCTGAAATATATGAGTTTTTGTTGCCCAGGCTCCTCTTCTCAGAGTAGGTATGTGTTGTTTTATAGTGTAAATAACAAGTTTTGATATTCCAATCAAACTGACAGGGTAGTTGTCATGACCATGATAATAAAAATGTTTCTATGGCTTGGCATTTAAATTGGGCAATTTTTTATCATTCATCACAAAATTATACCTGCACCCTAGGTGGTTCCCTGCAGGGGGTCATAACCAAGGGGAAGCTGATGAAAATGAATTCTGGTATTGGTGGCTGATCACTACCATTTAATATTTTTGTGAATAGCTAGAACATTTCTTAAAAAAAGTATATGAATTTATTAAAAATATTTATATGGTCTCCCAATCTGGAATTCATACTTTTGATACATTTGGATCAAAAGGTTTATGACGTTTTCTTGGACAGAATCCAACCTCGTACAGAGGGCAGGGCTTCTTTGAATTACTGTGTGGACAAGATTAATGAAGGGATTGCCAATTTGGCATATTGTACTACTCAATAAATTAAAATCATTAAATACTTTCTGCTACAATTAGCTGTAATATTATACTGTATATTATTGTGTTTCATATGACGTCATAAATTTGATGGGGGGTCAACTCTAAATCGGGACACAGTCATCAGAGTGAATTAATTTTTCACTGTATGTGTTGGCCTTGTGTTTGGTGGCAAATACATGCAATTTCATATCATTTGCTCACTCCAGTACAGCATAAGCATCAATACATTTTAGGTTCACCCCCCGTCAGAACGTGAAAATGCCATAGTTAAACCCAAGAATTCATTATATGTATTAGGTGTATGCAGACTGGTATGCAAGTTAATATCACTGCCTGTGAAATTGTGGTTTATTTAGAGAATAAAGACTTTTGAACTCTTCTATAAATAAATTATAACAGCAAAAGATTCATATGCACGTACCCATATAGGGAAGGGTTACATGCTACAAGTTAAAGTGAGTATTACACACTGCACTTGAAAAGTTTACAGTACAGTATATATACATTAAATAATAAAATAAATCCCAAGATTGGATTTATTGAAACTAGTCATTAGCTACAATCCTGGTAAAAATTATTGTGGACACCGCGTGCGTCAAACAAAAATAGATGTATTTCTACAGAATGGACAACTTGCATGTTAGACTAAATTTTAATCTAAGTAAAGAGAAGGAAATAAAACGCAACAGTTAAAAAGAACATAATGAAATTAGTAAAATTGCAAAATTTGGTTGCGAAATGTTGTAAAATACAGAAAATATAGCCTTGCGAAATTTGCATATTTTCAGTATATTTGTATTACGTGCGGAAATTGTTACCATTTTCGGCTCAAAAATAGTAACAATTTCCGCACGTAATATAAGTATACTGAAAATATGCAAACTTCGCAAGGCTATATTTTCTGCATTTTACAACATTTCGCAACCAAATTTTGCAATTTTACTAATTTTAGTTCATTTTTTACGGGAATTTACTTTTTTTTTTGCCTAAATCAAAAATTAGTCTAACACGCAAGTTGTCTATTAATCCCCAGAAAATTTCTCCCTCTCCTTCCCCCAATTCAATGTTGGTAAATGAAACTTAAATGCGCGAAACAACATTGAATAGGGAGTAGGGGGCGACAAATTTCACGAAAGAACGTCTCAATGTTAATATTGGCGTTAGAAAAGTTAGGTGTCCACATAATTTTTGCCAGGATTGTAGCTTGCGCGGGTACACCATAGACAGCCCACTAAACGGCTGAATTTAAATTAAAACTGCAGTGAAATTATAAATTTAACGAAAATAATCACAAATTTAGCGAAATATATTGCGAAATGTAGCTTATGTTATTGAAATCTCAACCCGATTGCACTATCGGCGAACTGACGTATAGTTCTTATAAAGTATACCTAAGGTTAGCATACTTTATAAGAACTATACGTCAGTTTGCCGATAGTGCAATCGGGTTGAGATTTTAATAATATAAGCTACATTTCACACTGAATATATTTCGCTAAATGTGTCATTATTTTCGTTAAATTTATAATTTCACTGCAGTTTTAATTTAAATTCAGCCGTTTAGTGGGCTGCCTATGGGTACACATGTAAAAATCTCACAACTTGTCAACAAGTGATGTGTTCGAAACAGGCTTGTAGCAAGCTTGTCAACAAGTTGTAACAAATAAACAATGCTGTTATTTTATCAAATTGCTACAAGGTTGTCACTCACAACTTGTTGACAAACTGTTGAATTGCATGACGATCACAAGTTGTTGAAACAACTTGTAATTAACAAGTCTGTTGAGCTCAACAACCTTGTAACAAGTTATCAACAAGTCGTTGACAACTTGTCAACAAGCTGGGAAACAAGCAGTGCGAACACATCCTGGAACTTTTGTTGGAACAACATTACTACAAGTCTGCGGTAGCTTTGTTGCAACAGTTGTGCGTTTTTACGTGTGTAAAATTGATGGCCAACATCTCTGCCCTCTACATTGCGGAGAATCAACTGGAAAAATGGCTGTCTGAAAATGTTGTAAAGTCAAAATGTCACAAACGTCCCATGCTACAATGTAACAAACAAACATTCTATTATTTATAAAAGCTTTTAACAGTTTTAGAACATTATACAAATATTTCAAAACGGTGTTCTGCAAATCTTCTGAAAAGTCATGTTGCTTGAATACAGAGAAACAAAACAAAACAACAAGTCTCTGGCAAATAAATTCGACATACATATTTGTTTTATCATATATATTTGTTTTACCATTTTTGTTTTACCATTTGATATGGGAACAACAAATTATCAACATTACCATTTTGGATTCTAAAAAATACTTAATGTTCCATTACAAAAAGTTTTAAAAGATAAACAGTTTGTCGTTTATATTTGATGGTTAAATTCCATGGATGTTGAGTTCTCTTGCCATTTGACACATTGCACAGATCCCACAGCATTGCAGTGCATAATAGTCACCCACAATACTTCCCTGTCGTAATAAACAATGAAATAATTAACTAACTAATTATTTATACTGGATCTAAACCGTTCTCCCTAGAGCACTACAGTAGTACAACCCATCTCTCTTACTGGTCTAAATGTAACCAGACTACAGGTGGAAACCTAAACCAGTTTTAGTTATACTACTTAGCTATATCAGTTCTAAACTGCTCTGCCTAGAGGACCCAGCTTATTAATATACCCAGGTGCTTTAGCGTGCCACGCCGTTGTCGGTCTGACTCAACACATAGCAATTCAAAACAGCTGAGGGTACGAGAGACGAGAAAGAGCCATCACTTACCGCAATGTTATGTCTTGTCCTGATCTTGGTTCTCAAGGCAATTGGACACAAGGCTGCGACACAACAACACTCGCCAGCATTGCTACTCACGGTGCATAGAAGAATGCACGGGCAGCACAAGCCAAGAAGACCTAAAAAACAAAATCGAACTTATGGAAACTAGTACGACATTATGTAGAAGATTGAGGTTGTTGGTGTTGCAAGTTGCACTTAGCTTCATGAAGCAGATGATGCAGTTACAAGTCTTACATTTGGATACGATTAAGATAATTAATTTTTTGCCCCCCCCCCTGTGTCAATGGTTCTGAGGCTCTCTCCTTGACAAAGGTTTCTGTACATTTCAAATTTCCCACCTGTATCATGTGATTAACCCATTGAGTCGCATTACGCCCCCAATCAATATGCTGTACTCTATAATTCGCCTGTCGAATGCCAGATTATTTTTCTCTGTCTAACACCAGACAATTTTACTCTGTCTAACATTAATTCACCTCAGCACTGGAAGAGAAAACGTAACGTGGAATGGTTGCAAGATGGGCAGGGAAATTTTTACTGGGGAAGGAAGAACAGACGTGGCACTGCTACTATAACGCAATTCTGTTTGGTCCTTTGATAGTTCATAGTTCGTGGACAATTTCCCCCTTTGACCAATCCCTCTCCCCCCTGACTTACAAACTCCACAATCATCAAAACAAGCACACATTCCAGTGCTCCATCCTCGTTGTCCCTGGACAATCACCGCTGCAGGTTGCTGTTGTATTACAACTGTTGTATTCGTGTTGTGCACGGTGTTTGTTGGTTGTTGCTGGACGGGAAATGAGGGGTAGGCACCTGGAGGGGGGTAGGCACCCTCACTTGGCTGTCGTTGGAGTGCGGGGTATCCAGGTGGGGTCGTTGGAGCAATTTCAGAGCTCATGTCAATCTTCTCGTGGTCCGATCCCTGATTGTACATCTTAAATTGCTGGTTCTATGGCGGAAATTTGGGAATTTGTTATACACATGCAAAAAATCTCACATCTTGCAGCAACTCTGTCAACAAGTTGTGCTCGCACTGCTTGTCCCAAGTAGTCAACAAATATGGAACAGTTTTTTAACAGTTGTGACAACCTTGACGGGCATTTTTCAAGGATTTTCGAGGGGGGGGGGGGACATTGGCAAAAAGGGACCTCCCACCGACGTTTTGCTTAAACTGGAAAATACACTAAACTAAATGAGAACAACTGCTATTATTATATACACAAGGTCTGGATATGAGGTATTCTGCAATCTGATTGGTTTTCTACTACCAGGATATTAGCTCATATCCTGCTAGTAGAGAAAAACAAAATGGCGGCTAAACCTGAATTTCCGATGTTTTGCGAACGAGAAAACGGCAAGAGTGTTCGCTTTTCATAGCTCTTTCAGGATTAAAAACAATGAAAAAACTCCCACAAATTGTTTACAGGTTAGCAAATGAATTTTTAAAATTTTAAATGGTTAAAAAATATATTTTTGAAAAAATAATCGGCCGAAAGAGCGAAGATACAAACTGATAAACAAAACAGAAAAATATTGAAAATACCCGAAAAGCAAAGTCTGTGAATTCAGACCTTGTCTATATAATAAAACAGATATTCCACTCACTCTCGTCGAATATGAGCGATAGCCGATTCGGCGCTACGCGCCTCATCGGCTATCAGCTCATATTCGACTCCAGTTCGTAGAATAACAAATACACTCTCTTGAACTAAATTATTCCTCATTTTTAAATTTTTCTCAATATCTTTTCAAAATATGATTTTGGCTTGGGGGGGGGTTCCAAGATAGTTAACTGGGGGAGGAGGCCAACATGGGGGTTGCATGGCCCCAGTCTATATGTTAAAAATGCCCTGTGACCGTGTTGATATTATCAGACTTGTTGCAAGGTTGTTCCAACAAGTCCGAGCATTCCTAAACAGCGAGACATTGGAAGGCACGTTGAACAACCACCTGTCAGCTTCCCTTCCCCCCTTTTATTCAACGTTCCTTTTATCTAAAATATAAGCAAAACATTGGAAGAAAAATTGAATCGTTAGAATGGAGGTTTGATATTCTAGTAACTGAACTGTATATCCAAAAATTCTGTTTCAGAAAACGCAGGAAATGCAGTCCTAAGGGGTGGAAAAGTACGACACCCCTAGTACTGGTAGTACATACGATACCACTTGTAGTATACATACTACACCACACTGTTTTTTTGTCACCAAGAACCATCTGTCGTCTCTTCATACTCAGTATAAATATGGCGTCAATTTTACAGCATCAATATTCAATGTCTGATAATTGTATTTAAATTGAGAAGGAACGCCAAAAAGATTTTAGGTTTTGAACACTTTTCATCGCAAATACGTGACATTGAAAATCATTGGCATTGCCTTTTGTTAAAAACATAGTTGGAACACTCATTTCTATACTACCAGTCTTTTGACAATTACAGACTTATAATTTTATAGGTTTGTTTGCTATAAGAAAGCTGTAGATTCTGATTGATATAGCTTATAGGGATACAACTATACCTAAGCCAGGAAAGGCATCCGCTCGAAACGTCGAAGTTCTCCTTGTATTTTTCAGGTGGTTGTTAATATCCCTATCAATCTAAAACTTTCTTATTGTTGGCATTATACTTACCGACTGACTATAAGAATGGTTGATTTGTTTGCACATTTCGCATTTATTTAAATCATAGCCTATCGAAGGGAAGCTGGCTGTGAAACTCATTAGAATAACAATATAACTCATTATCTATGTTAGTCAACGTTTATTCATAAATCTGGTCGTTTCACCGTCACGTGTGTATTGTATTTTTACCAAATCCACCAATAGCAATTTCCAGTTTCCCTATTGTTCGAGTCACGGATAGGTGACTTTCCTAAAACATTGCTATTGGTTAGTTGGTCAAGAATACAATACACACGTGACGGTGAAGGAACAGATTTATGAATAAACGTTGACCAACATAGATAATTAGTTATATTGTTATTCTAATGAGTTTCACAACCATCTTCCCTTCGATAGGCTATGTTTAAATGTATATGAAATACACCCTTTCGATAATTACATCACAACTACAATGTTTTCAACTTAGACCACCTTTATAAATGGAAAGGATTTTAATTTTTTTTCTCATGGGCTATGCACAGAGAAGTAGAACATCCTCCTTCAACACATGCATGAAAAATAATTCTTTATTTTGACCAATAAATGTGGAAATAAGCTTTATTCTTTAACACGAAAACGAGGCTCAGGTCATGACCTGGTTTCGTGTTATGCTTATTTCCATATTTATTGATCAAAATCCAAAATGTTTTTCGCGCATGTGTTGAAGAAGGATGTTCTGCTTCTCTGTGCATAGCCCATGATTCATGAGAAAAAAACTTGAAATCCTTTCCATTGTTTATGAGACTTTGTGGCGAAAAAGCAAGAATGTTATTTGCATTTTCAGTCACTTGGCATGACAAAAGTTACGGGTTCATTTCATAAAAAGTTATGCTGAATTATTTTTAATAAAAACATATGAAAAGAAATGTTTACTATATATCAAAAATATATACAATAATTATCAACTTAACTCTTAAGTGCATTAAGCCATTAGACAATTTGGGGCACTGTTTTTTGCAATAAAAACTTCTCTAGTTTCAACAATTCAATTTTGTATCTCAAATTGACGTTTGATAGAACTGATAGACAAGAAATATATCTGACTGCAATAATCAATAACAACATGGTCTTTTTAATAATTAAAACTATTGCTATATAGTCTAGCCTCTTAACATCAAATTAAAACAAATTTCGTATAAAATTACTTGCTTCCTTGATTCCTCCTGTTGTCGAGGGAAACGTATAAAAAAACGTACATTAGTTCGAACTGAATACCATATATAAAAATAATAGGTATATCTAGATCTATTTATTAATTCTATTATATCTTTATTCGCAAGTTCAAAAATACGCACATTCGTGATCAGCTTCAAATGTTTTAGGCTTATCTTTAAAATTATGTCAAATATAGAATTAATGATGCGCAATTTCATATACACAATGCACTTCAAGCTGTGTTTTAATAGTTAGAATTCTTAGCCACTGAAGCACAAAAACGCCAACAAAGATTATGAAAAAAGATAAAATAAGACAAAATTTCAGGAAAGGGGGAACAAGAAAATACGGTGATTTTTAATGCACGATCATACACGAGCAAATTTCAACTCATTCTTTGTTTTAATATCGATTTGAAAGAGCTTTTAAAAGGATTCAGTAATTTTTGCCTCATGAGTCATGGGGAAGATTATTCAAATGCAAGGCATCGTTATAACTGAAGCATCTCTTGTTGCCGAATATCATTTGCATATCTATACCTCTTGCTTGTAATATATATTATATATATATATATATATATATATTTATATATATATATATATATATATATATATATATATATATATATATATATATATATATATATATATATATATATATATATATATATATATATATATTATCTATAGTCATACATCTAAACAATTTCTTTCAATCCTTTTGTTGAAACAGTTATTTCGAACTGATTATTATATGAACACGACATTCTTCAACACACTAGATTAAGTCTAGAGGCTCTCATGCGGTAAAAGAATCCATATATACATTTCTTCCAATATTGCAAAGTTAGAAGCGCGTTGACAACAATGACGATTTCCACTACACTGCCTAAATCTGTCGCATGCAACACGTTTACTTTGTAAAATCAAGCACACAACTCGTTTACGTTGTCGTAGATTTACACAGTACGACTCAAGTTGTAAACAGGTTGCATGCAACAAAGGTTGTGGAGAGTGTAATCGAAAGGGAAAGCTAGAGAGCTAGTATTTACCAACCATGCCAAAGTATATGTGCAATGTAATACATAACTTACATTTTTGTACGTATACTTCAATTTTAACTCCCCTCAGTGGATGCGAGAATATTTCTTCTGTAAATCCAACTTTGACTTGGTAATGATTCTGTTCACTTCGTGCATGCGCAAGTGTCATGATGACGGTGAAACTATGCCTGAGCGCTGTTGGCGTCATGCAGTCATTGCAGTAAATTAGGAATTCTGAGAACCGAAATGTGAAATTCACAGTGATAAATTTTTAATATCGTGTACGGGTGTTGAATTAGGCTGGGTTTCCATATGTTCGTAACTGTCGCGAACGTGTTGTAAAGCCTGATTCTCATTTATCGTAAACATCGGCGATGTCCATTGTCGGTGGTCATTGATGCCATACAATCTTTTGTGCATTTTCTTCGTTGCTCACAGACAATGGATCGTAGAACATCGCCGACTAATGAGAACCAGGTTTAACTGTCGTCAGAATACAGCCTGGTTTCCATATGGTCGTAACGGTCGTAAAGATTGAGTCAAGATCTTTCTCATCAGTCGAGATACAACATTTTAGAACTGAAAATACGTGGAGTGATGGTAACTATTGTAAACTGGCCGTCTGGCCGTTGAGAAAGATCGTGACTCTATTTTTACGACCATATATGGAAACCAGGTTTTTGCGACCAAATGGAAGAAAGGTCGCGACACGCTGGCAACAGTTTACAACAGTTACAACAGTGTCGTCGAGAGAGACTCGAGTTCTATCTCGACGACTGTGGCGACAGTCTAAATCATTGGTCTCGTCGTGACGGTTATATTTTACTGTACGTAATGGAAACAGAAAAACGGGGCGACGTCACTCACTGCCAAACTACACACGTTAAAACGCACAATTAAGTTGTTACAGGTCTGTTCACAAGCTGTCGACAAGTTGTGTTCGCACTGCTTGTTCCCAGTTGTTGGAACAAGTTTAGAACAAGCTCTTAACAACTTGTATCAAGCTTGATGGCATTATCAGGCTTGTTACAAGGTTGTTCTAACAAGTCTGATGTTGTAATATCAACATCAACAAGGTTGCTATAAATTGTTAACAGCTTGTTCCAAACTTGTTGGCAACTTGGGACAAGCAGTGCGAACACAACTTTTTTTTTTATTTAAACATATTTTATTCTCAACATTTTCTCCAAGAGCTAAGCTCATCGAGGGAGATCATGTTGACTTATTTAAAACATTAGAGTACATCGTGTTTAAATAAAAGGTATACACAAACATGATAAAATAATTATAAAGAAAAAGAAGTATAGTTAAGCTCAGTGAGGAGATCTCAAAACCTAAAGATAAGTTATATATTACGTATTAATATTCAATTCAATTAATAAATCGCTTAGTTTGGAGAATAAACAGTTGAACATTCCGCATCAAAATTTGATTATCTTCATAACCAAGTATTTGTGAACCATATAGAAATGTTTCGACTATCTGATCTTCCGATAAGCTCAACCACGTAGCGTGGAGCAACTGTGCAGACGAGGAAAGCAAGCATTGTCGCTGAGCAGCATATCGGGGACAGTGCAGAAAGAAATGTTTAATTGATTCCACTATTCCCCATCTACATTTACAATATGGAGAAATTGCACAGTTAATACTATATAAATGCGAATTCAATGCACAATGACCTATAGGCGAAGTCTACTATGTAGTATTGAACTGTATCGATTTAACGAGGTGTTGTAGAGAGTATTATATTTCATTCCATAAAATACATTATATAGTTTACTTTTGAATAATAGTAATGATTCTACATTACACAAGTCATTATCAAGTTCATTCCAAGCTGCAATTACTGATGGGAAAAAAGATTTTTTAAAACGTTCGGTACTAGTAGGAATATAGGTGAAATTTTCATTAGATCTAAGGTGGTGATCAGATCTCTGATAGACATATGGAGGTAAAAGATCACGAAGGTAGGATGGAGTGAGGCCGTTTATTATTTTATAAAGCAACGATAATTTATGTAGAAATCGTCTAGTTTTTAGATCTTCCCAGCATAATTCGTTTAATAATCGTACCCTGTTTGTTCCTTTCATTGCTCCAGTAACTATACGAGCCAATTCGTTCTGTATTCCCTCTAAAAGATTTGCTTCACTTTCAGCGGTACATCCGTCCCAGATGACATCAGCATATTCCATCAGAGGTCTAACAAGACTTTTATATAATGAGATAAGGGTTGATCTATGGAGCTTATATTTTACACTTTTTAAGAGATTCATCACCTTGCTAGCTTTTTTATGTATACTTTGAATATGATGATTCCAAGTAAAATTTGACGTAAATTTCAATCCTAGATGAACATGAGAATTAACTTCTCGTAAAGCATTGCCATCTAAATGTAATGTAGGATGTGTTTGTCCAGAAAGTTTTCTTGAAAAAGTAATACTTTCACATTTGGAAGGATTCAGCTCCATTAGCCATTGTTTACACCACTGACTAATTTTATCAAGATCCAAATTTAATTTTGAAGCAGAACTTGTTGGGTCGTCAGTTATGTCAAATAAAGATGTGTCATCAGCGTAAAGAAAACAATTAGATACAATGTCTACACCAATATCGTTAATATATACCGGGTGGCCCAAAAAAAAGTACTCCTGTTTGATTCGTAATAACTTCTAAACAAGTAAAGTTTTTAAAGAGAAATAACTTGCATTAAATAGAGGAAGGACTAACTTAGATTTTGATATATTACAGTTGTATTTAACTTAAAAATTCACGGATATATTAATGTTAAAAATGCCGATCTATATTTTGGAATGTGTCTAAAATTAGCGAAAATCGGCATATCAAATATTAACTCCAGCGTTTGTTTGCTTAATGACATATTAGGCTAACTTGTATTTCAGCGAATTATCGTTAAGGTTTGTAAGGGATATGGCGTAGATTTAGACATCTTACATGTAAGTCTTAGCTCATTGTTTCCTGAAATATGAACGTTCGAAATTATGCAAGTATTTAATATTAGGTCTTGGCAAACTTAAATGTACATGAAAGACTGACCATGGAAGGCAGGCGCTTAAATTTTTCGTATTCTTAAATAGCCTAATTTTTTTATGTTTTTAATGGGTTCAAACAGACTGAGTAGATTATTTCTCGGTTAGAGCAGGATGAATATTCTTTATTGAAGGAAATAATATTGCTTTTTGCAAATACACATCACCGTATCAACGCTACTATTTTGTTACGTTTTGTTCCAAAAATGTTGCATGTCTCTGGGGAGTTGCTTAATTGTTATGTCTTATGGAGTTGTATGGTTTGATTGTGTTTCATATAATTCTCAGTTTACTCCATGAACTTGCCAAGATTAAGAAACGGCAAAAGAGTTTGGGTGTTCTTAACAAGATTTCAGAACGTTGCAGAAGTTAGAAGAGCTTCACAATTCCGTTGTGACAGCATGCCCTAATTCAGAACTACGAACGATGCAATGACGATCCTTCGCGATGCAGTGGTCTCATGAAATAAGGAAACGTATTCGAACTAGGAACACACGCGAATTTCGGACGAATGAATCTTGCTTGTATTTTGTAGATATAATAATACTTTGTTTCATAATAAACAATTTGTCAAGTGTCATTTATTTACTGGTAATAGTGTATGTTTCAGTCGGGCAAATCTTGATTAATATTTGATACGCCGATTTTTGCATATTTCAGACACATCCAGAAATATCCTCCCGAATTTAAAGATTAATATCTCCGTGAATTTTTAAGTGAAATACAACTGTAATATATCAAAGTCTAAGTTAGAG